GGAATGATAACTCAGTAGAATAAGCACTTGCCTGGCAAGCGTAGGGTCCTGAGTTCAATCCCTGGTATCAAAAAAAAAAAAATTTTTTTTTAAAGATACATCCATCCCATTAGTAAGTAACTGTAGCAATTTAAGAAGGTAATAAAAATATCTTTCAAATGAGATTGAAAAGTGCAACACTTGTCAAGCAGTCATTAAAATACTATGAAATAAATGCTTATTAAGTTATTCAGACCTTAATAATACATATAATGAATAGAACTGTTGGGTATTTCTATTGATCTAAGAATGCTCTGAAAACACTAACTACTAAACCTCTAAGACTGCAGTGAACAGAGGAAGCTCAGCTCTGATTGGCCATGCATTAATTAACCAGGTGTGTATGGGTCATACACAGAAAAAAAAAAAAAATGCCACAAGGAAACTTCTAGAATGGATTGCTGCTACGAGCTATTAACCAGACCTCGACAGGTGATCTAGCATCATTTGCTCGGCAACCATCTGCTTCTTCTTCTCCACAGCCACAAGTTCCTGAGAAAATAAAAACAACACAACTTTATTGTCCAGGACAATACAATTAGTACAAAATTCATAAAACATAAATTAAATATTTCTGATTTCCTTCTTAAATCCAGATTGTTATCCATCACGAGTAAATTTAATTTCCAAAATGATTATGTCTTCACGGGCTTAAATTTCTATGGAAATCATCAGACATTTCTGCCAAGCCGCCTTTCATTGTGGGGAATCAAAATAAAGGATGCGGACGCCTCAGGTGCTTCGCCTCTCTGACTCCCCGCTCATGATGCGGTGCAAAATGTACCTTCATCTGCTGCAAGAAGAATATCAACATGACACAAAAAGAGTTTAGTCTAAAACTACTCACACTAGAAGAGGCTGAAACTGAGCTGCAATCACTTAACCATGTATCAAAAAACGGAAACAGAATTCCAATGATTAAAAAAAATGATAAACTTTTACATTTATGTAGTTCATTGATGATACTTGAATAGTTTTGCTCAGTTACTGGTTGGATTGAAGTCTACGGGGTTTACACTTCGTAGGACAAGCTGGAATCCCCTCGGGCACATGACGCAGAGCCCCGCCTAAGCATAAAGCAGCATCTAAGCAGAAGTCACATTGATACAAAAGATCTCTGGCAACACTAAAAAAAAAATGACAAAAGAACTAGAGAAGGAAGGACATGAAAATCACAGGCTCACTGCTTCCGGTGTTTAGCTAAGTATTTAAAAATTAAAGACACTTCTACCTGCATTTTAAAAGTAAATCAGTACTAATTTCTGGTGCTATAAAATTTTACTCATATATTCATTTCCAGGGGGAAATAAAACAGATAAAGGTGCTGCTGAAGCAAAGAAGTAAACTTAATATGATAAATTTACATACATTGTTTCCAAACATAATTGTAAAGAGAAGCAATCCATTAATACCCAGAAGGCTTTGGGTTATGCTAAGAACAATACCCAATGGATCTTGAGTATGGTGACATTCATTTCAAATAAAAATTCAGGAAATAACAAACTAGCCTCATTTGGAACACTATTTTGCCTCAAAGTAGCTTTGCTATTTTTATGGTAAGCTTGGGAACCCTCCTTATTGTACTAAGCATAAAATGACAGGCATAGAAAAGTATATGTATGTTCTCTAGTAGAAGAACTGAAGCAAATTGGCAACTGGGATAGCCATAGAACATCAGCCTGGCCCAGCATTTAATTACACATCCGTCTCAATTCAGGACATACTGACACCACATTGTCGAGTCCTGCTCAACAACGGGAGTAGGGAGGGTGTCTGAAGGGAGAGGACCAGACGCTCTTCAGGCGAAAGGCGAAGTTCTTTATTCTCAAAGAGTTTTTATACAGTCGCATAT